CAACACCAACAACACCCAAACTCTTCGTGATCTCTTTCACGCCTTTTTGCCAAGTCATGTGCTGTCCACCTCGCGGTTTGCGCCATCCCGAAGGAGGCACGGAGAACAACACTCGTCTTGGTAGACGGTGTTTTGGCATGCGTAGCACATGACCGAGCCATCGTAGTCGATGATGCTGGATGTTTTCCCGGATTGAGGTGCCTGCAGCACAACCAAATACCCGTTTTCTAATCGCCTCGTTAACGACACGTTGACGCCATCCACAACCAGCCACGCTTCTGAGGCATCGGTGGTCGAAAACCTGAAGACGCCTCACATCATCTACCCGAAGAGGCCATGTCTCGCACCCATACAACAACACAGCCCTTACTGTAGCCTGGTACACACGACCCTTAAGATCCAGTGAGATGCCTTTTTGACGCCACAAGTGACGCAAATTAGCAAACGTGATTCGAGCCTTTGAGATTCTTGCACTGACTTCATCAGACACACTTCCGTCAGAGCTAATACAACTACCGAGGTATGTAAAGTTTTCCACAATCTCCAGTGATTCTCCTTGGATTGTAAGGGATATGTTCGCAGATGGCACGTTCTGAAGCAGGACTTTGCACTTTGAAGGTGCAAGGCGCATGCCAAATGATGGTATGATCACCACCAAAATACGGGTTTAGCGATTTGGCCCCCGCAACTATATCACCTATTATGCCATTTCGATTTATTTGAAGGTCGGTTAAACGCGCACACTCTACGTGTGAACAATTGGTGTGTATATGTACTCACTTCGTCGAGGTCAACCGATAGCAGATGATCTTACCTAGTATGCATTACCGGTTTTGTTTTGCTCACATGATGCACGTCGTGCCAATACTTATCACTTGCTCATTGAGGAGGCTACCAACCTGGTCGATCTCGGTTCTCTCAGTCCGTTGCCTAGTAGACTGGAGATTTGCCACTGGTCGACCAACCAGTTCAGCACCACAGCAACATGTGACAGTTTGCTAGGTAGATTCGGTGATCGGACTGGACCTTTGTGAAACCACGACTGATAATCACACCGTCACTCGGATGAGTAGAAACTATCAGAAAACTGTAGCTTAATTTTGATGCGCTTTGACAACACACCATCTGCTCTGTCTAGCAAACGATGGCCTTATTGACCTAACCCGAAATACCAGTTTCTCACCCACCGAAAAACCCGTCCAAGTGGTTAATTATTTCATATACGGCAGCACTCCAAAAGTTGTCACCCTTCAGTAAGACTGTAAACTAAATCCTGCTTGCCGAGAACGCATTGGGCTCACTAGTAGAGTGATCTCATTTGAGTCTTTCCTAGAGACCTAGTACTGTATAGCAGCTTACAATACCAAAAAGGTGATGCTTTGTTTGCACTGTTCTGGTTCTACTATCCACATAATGCGCATGAAATGAGAGCGTATGGTATCATTCACGTGGAGCTAAGAATAAAAATAAGTTGAAAAGTTCGAGAATCAATACCCAAGGCCTAAAGCTGCAGATTCGCTGGTGATGCATAAGTGTACCCCAGCTTTCCAGTGCACACGCAAATGCCATAATCTGACACACCGAAACACGTGCAAGCAGGGAAAATATACAGAAAAAATGGATCGTTTCTAGAGAGGTACATGTGAGGGGACTCAGAGGTGTACCTTTTAGCGTACTCCATGAGCCGAGAATCTGTTGGCCTGTGAGGTTGTGTGGACAATTCCGGGCATTTTTCGGGTTCTACCAGAATGAGCACAGTCTCCACGTTGGATTCCAGCCAAGTCTGGACGTCTGGGGACGTCCACAGATGACGAGTACGAGCCACATACAAGTCCAACAAACGGCCAAGACTTTCCGGTTCACTACCGATCGCAGTGGATGAGATTGAGAAGGAAAGAAGTATGAGTAACAAAGACTCTTTGAAACCTAGAGTGCTAGGGGCACAATAGCTCCTCTCATAAGTTTAATCAAAGCTAAATAAAGCAACATCTCTGCGAGACGGGGTGAATCTAGTTTATTTACGTATTCTAATTCAGCTACCTACACACATTCATATTCGAAGTCAAACTCATAAGAAAGCTAGCAAGAATTCGGGACAGGTGGTTACACCAACTGAGCAACAGCGAGCGGTACAAAAGGAACTGTCACCTAGGAGACATGGTCAGCTCATGGAGATGTCATAGGAATGGTCGAACTGAGGCAAAACTAGACACAAAGTCTGTGTTCACATATTTGATTATTCGAAGCACACAACGACTGTCGTGGATCTGCGATGGCGAAACGCTCTTTAGGCTCCGTGCAGTCAGCTACTTTTGCATGCAACCAGACTTTGTGACTGGCCCCGTCCTATCTTAGAATGACCAGTGCTACGACATGTTTTCACTTTCTTCGAGGGTCAACCGTGCTTTCCAAGTAATCTTTATCCGTTTGAGATCTCCAACCTGTTATGATCTATCCAACTGACATGATCAAGTTGCAAACCGATCAGCCCTGAATATGAATGTATGTAAGTGGCTAATTGACAGTAGAAGAAATGGCGGAATTCGAGTTACCTTGCTAAGATGTTACTTTTTCTTGTTTTATTAAAAGAAAAAATGATTACACCGCTATGATGCTCCGACTAACAGATAGCTCGTATACCAGGCGAGAGTAGGTCTAAAACGGAGGAGTGTATAGAACGGTGGACGTCAGTGAAGGCCTTCGTAGACAAACACGGAGTCAATCCATGAAATATTTTTACGCAAAGTCTTTTACCCTTATTGGGGCTCACCGGTTGGACGCACGTGGAAACAAAGGAGAGTTTCACCATCAATCGTGATTGCCGTGTTTGGGACGAAGCGCTCACCATTGACGCTTTCACAGTTAGTGAAGTAGGCCAGGAAAATGAGTTGCCCTCAATGTGAGTCAACTTTGTTAGGCCACTTGTATATTCGTAAATAAGCAACAGCAATCAACCACGGTCAGAAATGGAATATTAATCTCGGTGATTACCAGATCCTCCAAGATGATTGGTAAATCGACCAAATTACCCGGGCGTGGTTAGGTGTCTCAGACAATGCCCGGTCAGAAGTCGTGTCTTGTAAGGCGGAATCACCAGCTGCACGGGAACAGCTGTCAAATCAAGATTATTTAAGAAGACTACCACACATCGATGGGTCAGTTGGCATATTCAGACAACGAAGTTTGGTGTTCCTTCATTCTTACTCAGAACTGACTGACATACCTTCACGGGCCCGCTCGGGTAGTGAATGGGAATCTCCAACTCCAGTAAGGCTTGCCTGCGTGCATCAACTAGTCAACGAGCTAGTTGCAGCTGTGGTTGCCGGTATAACCAAGGTGTGGTGGATTCACACCTAGCAGGGCGATCTCGAAAAGCTACCAAACTAACCTTAACGATGACATATCACATACCTGCAACAAATGGACCGCACCAAAGGGGTTTCTAAAACTACTTGACAAAACAGTCTGAGGTTGTATGTTGGGTAAACAGCACTGCCAGCATGCCTTGAAAGATGTAGTCACGTGATCAAGAGTCCAGCTATAGCACCTTCGGTGCATAGCTGCCATCCTCCCGGAAAGAAGCGCAAAGCTCAGGCCTAGATAGGAGCAGTCGATATCTAGATGTCAGATTCGAATCAACGACCTTCTTGTCAGTACGTTTGCACCTTAACCAGCGCTTGCTGCGACTAGTGGGTCAGACCACAGGATATAACCATCGTGTAATTCCGAATGATCGAAAAATATCATGTTATGGGAATAGAGAGCCAAACAACCCTTCATTTACCGTTGAACTTCCCCTCCAAATAGGATGGAACGATCCAGATTAGTCACGTTGCCGATGCTTGCGTGTTTTAGCAGGCGGGTGACGAATCCAGGAAATAGTATCAACGCGTCTTGTATCTGTTATAAGAGACAAAAAATATACGAAAAATCTTGAATCTTTCCAGAGTTTTTTCGTGTCCAATTATACGAGGAAACAGCGACCACTTGCCTTCCCTCATAATGACTGTCATTGTAAAGCAACTTTATCATGAAAGCCCATTATTTCGCACCGAACACCGTTGTTGCGCAGCTGAAGTATTGGCTGTAGAAGGCGTACTAAACTACCAACATTATTCCAATAGACGGCACAGTTCCATATTTCTGAGTGGATTACAAGGGTTTTGTCAAATCTCATTTTCATGCGAAAAATCGCGCGGAAATTATGAAACTACGTTATTTACCCCGCAATTTTCAACAGTACTTTAAAAAAATTTGTCACGAACTTCCCGCTTGGGTGCCCATCATCCGCACAATGTTCTCAGCTGCGAAACCTTTACAAGTGTAGTAAGACTTCCCACGCCAAAATGTCGCATTTTGTTGCTCAAAACAAAAACAGTCCTAATCTACGTTCACATTCTTGCAGTTCACCAAATTTCACTGTTCACTGAAGCAACCATGCCTCTGACTGAAAATTCCTATGGGATAATTTCCCGGCATCGCTGAGACCCCGAGATGCCTAAACGGGACTTAAAAGTCTGAACTGGGACTCGCAACTCAATTGTCCGATTGCTTTAGTCCATCAGGGACATATCATAACTTTCGAAAATTCAATTCCATTGTGCGAATACCAAGCGCCTCCCGTTTGCTGAATGTACGGTGCTCAATTTCAGAAAAAAACTCGATCAGAATCTCCAGTTAGATGTGGAACTCACTCACCATCAAGATTTAAAAAAAAATGTTTATTTGATCGCATCAGGAAGTTGAAACCACGACCAAGCAGTGACCTGCTTCTTGCTGGTCTAGTGATCTTCGTAGAGCTGACTGAAAAGGTGAGCCTTTTGGAGGTGTGAGTAGCGCAGAAACCTTTTTTGACCCAAAGTGAGTAAACTGCTTATCCTTACTATTTGGATTCCTTTAAAAAAATTACTTGGCTACTTTTCCACTTGAATTGTCTTATCTGGCTCGTTTTCCTATAGTTGGAACTTGATCGAATCAGAGAGAACAGGGACAAACTTATAAACCAGAATCGATCCGGCTCTCCTGTTAGATTGAGTCAAGAGAATTATGTCACTATTACGTAGGCATCTCAAGGCTGCTAAATGCTCTTCTTGTAGTTGGACTGTTGTGGAATACGAGGTAGTGGTAGCAAGTGCAAGCCAGTTCGGACTTGGAATGCTCCAGACTGCCTATAGGTGCAGGTGTTGGTTTGGTGATGCTAAAAATGGGCTCTCAAACTGAATTTTCAACTCTATGTGGTCAACTTGTTATCTGCCCTACATTGGCTGTTCTGAGATAACAATTTTCAAGCTTGTTTTTCAATTTGCATCAAAGGCAGAGCGTCACCTAGCATCCAAAAAAGATAAGTTTCTGCGCCTGTCGTTCAGAGGAGGCACTTATTGTGAATACGTAACGCGTCATCTTAGGAGTACCCTGGCTCAAACTCTTTAAGCTGGACATCATCCTCCACAATTCCCATCTGACCTGTTTGAAACTCAAGGACAAGGCGTCAGGTCAAAAATCATCTTTGTTGATTTATTCTTAAATTTGCGGGTGTTCCGCAGACTGAGGGTCGTACGACCATGCACTCGTCCACAAGAAACAAAGAACATTTGTGGAATCGTACCACAACCGGTGACTGTCAGAGCCAACTGTGCTATCTCCAACTCCTTGGTCGAAGTAGATCATACAGTAAACAAAGACTAACCTTAAAATCATGTATCGTGTTCCACTAAACCTATCAAAGATATTCCGAAAATTCCCATTCACAATAAGAACAAAGATGGGGTGCTGAAAGCATGTTCATCAATCTATCAAATATGATTAGACAAGTGATGCTCATGGGTAGTAATCGGTCTGTGTTTGTAATAATACGCATCTAGACTACTCCGACTAACAACTGGGATAACACAAGCACACACGTGGACTTACAGTGTCGTTCAGTTGGACACTGCCCCACGGTTAGGGGGAATTCCACAGATACCGCTTCACCGTTCGAAGTTAGGCGCTCCTACGGCCGAGAAGCATATCCCGCACAAGACTGTCCAAAAGTTCGGGCCACTTGCTGTCCGGCATCAAGGCGAGCTCTGTGCTTGGTCGGAAGTCTGGACCCAACAGCCGATCATAACTCACTATTGGCCGAATGCCGGTTGCCAATGGCGCATCCAGAAGGCGTCAGAATCTCCGAAGTGTTGTTGCGGTATATATTTTATACACGATGCGCTGTACTAGTGCTTTCGACGTGGTTTTGGGTGCTAATATATCTTGTGTACTTCTGGTGATTGTTTTTGACGATAACGCTAGGCTGGGAGGTTCAGACCGAGAACTAATCTGAAAAAATACCGTTATTACAGTCACTCTATACTGTGTAGTCCTTTTTAGCCGATTGCCATTTTGACACTGAAATGCACCACCGATTTATGAACCGTCGGACGTGTTATGCGAGCATTAGCCCGTCGAACTGCATCGAAAACATATATATTTGCCACTTCCGTGTTTATTTCGGTAAGTACATAAGCCATAGTATGACCAGAACTCGCATCAACGTACCGCTTTCCCTCCGGGCTCTCCAGCTTGGGTTAGGAACATGTGTTGGGACATGGTCCTGGAAAAGTGGACCACTTTGGTAACTTCACGCTAGATACTGTTGAATTGGAGCCACAGTTGAGCCAAAAGCTTGAGTTGACGAGCCTAATCGTCGCCTCGTTTATGTTTGGGTGACCTGACAGTATTCGATCAACATGGAACTAGGAACCGTTCAAATACCAATAATCAGACACGAGAAGATTCTTGTGCGCGGTTAGAAACCCTAAAAGACGCGACATGTGACCGAACCCAGTGGCAAGCCGATGTCGTGGTGACTAAGCCTTGTCTGTCATTGTGTGCTGCACTTGTATTAGACGCTGAATTAGTCCCACTAACAGCGTGTCATACAAAACGATACGCAGATGCGTTTAAATCAGTGGTTTCGGAGGGTTTGGGTATCTTGAATATGGCCATTTCTTTGGCGAAATAGGGATTTAGTAATAGACCCCCACCTTTCTCTTCGTTTTCATTGTATACTGAGGTTTTGCTCCTCCATGGGTGTCCGTTAAGCACGTTCTCATTGCTGGTGTGTTGTTGAAAATGTCACCGGTGTAGTGAAAACTGGTTCATGGAGTTGCGGCATGCGCACTCTTCAACTGATGTTGAGTCAGATTTCATCGATGTTTGCGGCCAGCTGGTGACTGGCCTCGTAGAAAAGATAATCTCTTGCTTTTGAGTGTGGAAAGTAAGTTGCACTGAGTCGCATAAATTTGGTGAAAATGTTGAGTGGGAACTCCAAATACGAAACAAAATGTCATTTTACCTGAGAAACTCAAATTTAATTTCAATTTCTATATAGTCAGTAAAGCTGTGAATCTTTGAGACTGTTACCCATCAGTCGCGCATCTTCCTGTGCCCCATGGCAGAGTATTCATGAAATGTGCACTGCTGATGGATCCCAGTACCGATGGGACAGCTGGGCATCCCTGCTCGGTTCTTCGGAATAGAACAGTTTCAGATACAGAAAGAAATCTCGGCTGAAATCCCCGAATCTCCTCATACTACTAATATGCTTGATTATCTCGTAGCCAAGTGAGTCATCTAAAAAAGTTCTAATAACTGGGTACTGTAAGTCCCTGTCTCAGCGTCTGTTTTCTTGCCGGCCAGATAACAACCAGCAGCCCTCCTAGATCAGAAAGTGGACCCACATCATCGATAAGCACCATAAACTGGTAAGCAGTGAGACAAGTTTTCGGCTGTTCATACACATGCATATATTTAAACGCGGTCAGACATCTCATTGAAGGAAAGGTGAAGAAACGTAACCATTTTCAACGAAACACACTCATTTACAGCTTAGCGAATGAATCGCTCCTTTCTGATGGGCCCAAAGAAAGTTGAAACCTGTAAACTGTGACTGTGGAGGAGCTTTTAGCGACCTTATGAATCGTGCACGACACGCTTGCCACATTTCACATGGACGTCACAACGATACACAGAGCCAAGCGAGAAGAAAAACAAGAAGGCTTACCAACAAATCTGCATCTCGGATCCCAGACGGTTGAATTCTAGAATCACGGAGGAACTTCGCTGAGAGCGCTACCGACAGCGCAAAGTTGGGCAGTAGGTATAAATTACGAGAAGGCTGGAATGTCAAGAAGAGTAGGAAAATGTGTAAGAGTACGTGATTCGCGGTGGCAACTGAGATAATTTTCACTCTCTTAGGCGAAATCCATCTGCGCCACACAGCGGTCTATAGATAACCAAATGCTGACTGACCGAAATAACGCATAAAAGTAACCGAGAAGGTAAGCTATGGAGGATAAGGAATAACAACCTTCAGCTCAAGTGATTTGCTGATAGAGGTACAAGATTGTTCCGAAATCTACTACTAAGGCTTCATGAGCTGAAAACACAGCAACGCAGAAGGTTCAGAGCGCCTTTACCAGCTCTAGCATACCGTGCTGTTGTCACTCATTGCTACGCTTTTTGATCTGGCTAGGAGCATTGGTCTGTGCGTTCAAATGCTTTTCGATCACTCACGCACACATGAAAAGTGAGACTTGGTTACTATGGGCTTGGCTGGCATCAAGATCTAGATTCACTAATACAGATGAAGTAATCGGTGTCCACCAACTGAACAGCGAGTAGAATTCAAAGTGTAGTCTGGTGGAATGTGGTTGTACCTCTATCACACTCAATGACGGATGGTAAGGTGTTGTGCGTGTCAAGTTACCGTTTGATTGAGGAATTGTTGTGTTGTGTTTCCCCCATCTGTACTTTTTACACAGGATAATCTGATATCAGAATACTCCCTTTAATGACATCTCATTCCTGCGTAAACTATTAGGTGACTACGACTAACTGTTCCGTGAAGTGGATTTTGGTTACTAATCAACATAACCGAAAAGGTATGCTTAACGTAAAGGCGGCTAAGAGTAAGCCTAAAAAACTAGACTCCCAAATTACCTTAGTCAACAAAATACCCTTTATACCAACAGTAGAACAGTTGTAGAACCATTTCGGTGCCTAGCTGCCATGCCACCCGAAGGAAGCACGAGGATTGAGATACTGCCAGGTTGCCCAAGCCTAGACAGGGGAAGTCGAGAGGCAGAGGTCGGGTTCGAGCCACTACCTTCCGGCCGGTAAATTCACGCTCTAACCACTGAGACGATCCGCACCTAGAACTCGAATACGGCACAAAAGTGTGCAATAACAGTCATGAAAAACATAATCCACCGATATAAATACCGACTTCAGTTGTCGCGCTCAGTTTGGTACGAACAAAATGAGATGTCCAAGAATCCGTACAGGCAAATAATAGATATCTTAGTGCCGTTGGTGTAAATCATTCTTCACTCTCTTCGGAAAATTCACTATAGAGGCCATTAGATGTACACAATAATGATGTCGATGACGAATCACCAGATGTCGAGAAGCGACCGATTAATGTTCCATCTGCCCACCATGTGTCCTGTTGAGAAATTAACCCCAACTCATAATGTTATGAATCCAGATTTTAAAATACCGGAAAATTGCGACAAGCAACTCACGTTTAACCATTCGTACAACGAGATTAGCCATTCATATTGTCCAGAGAGTAGTGCATAGTGGTCAACCATTAGTAGCACCGCCAAAGGATCGTCCTCCACATCGAGACTACATGGGTTGGGGAATAATGAGACAGTGGAAAAGAGTGGATAATATGAGGTTGAAAACAGTAAGTGGAGTAGTATCCGTACAACTTATCAACGAGTAAGATGGTAAGAGGCTAACCCCGGGCGAAACATGTGGCAGATCCAACTAGGGGAGGGAGTAACTATGCGGACGGCGATTTCCAGTTTTCACGCATCAATCCGAGTAAGATAAAAACGAACAAAGAAACTACGCCCAAATGATAAGCCTTAGGTGCCAATTAGTTCCAGGTTTGGCCTGATATTCGAATGACTGGCAGCCGTAGGTCAAGTAAATTTGAGGTAGTCCCAAAACATTATTCCAAGTTCGACAAATACTATCATTTTTACGCGGATTTGGTTTTGATTATTCCTATTAATTATTATTACTGTCGCTCAAACGGTCAACTAAAGAGGAAACAGCTGTGTGGTGACAGAAAAGGCAGAAAGTGTCTAAATAAGTTACCTAGAGGTATAATTAATTCCTTCAGAGCTATCACTAAACGTGCATAGATAGGCGTAAATTGTCGATGCACTCATAGGTCAAACTCATTTTTACAAGCAGGTGACACTTAATCAAACTGTCGGCTGCAACCCATCAGATGATCACGCCAAAGGACTCCAGTGACATTCATCCACTAGAATATCCTGGTGGATGCTAACGTCGTCAAAAACACCATGAGAGCTTACGAGAGTGGTTTACACTGTCCCGATAATTCTTCGGTAACCGCGACCATAAAGGTTTCAGTAAGCAAAGCACCAGAAGCTGGAATAATTGTACACCGGTTTACGACTAACCCTATAGTCCGTAAGGTAAACTAACACTCCTGAACTGAGCTTCATCTAAACAATCGAAAGTGAGTTCCGGGCGATCAAGACTAAGCCACAGTAGCATGCATCAATCATTAGAAACGGGAGCGGTGCTTGAAAACGAAGTTCGACGAACCATACAGGACGGAAAATCAAAGGATGGACGATTAAAACATTTCCAGCTGCCAGTAACCAAGCTTTGGACACATGCCCATTCTGACAATGACTTCTAAGTGGAATGGAACATCCACACAACCATTAGGATAAAGTTGAGACCTGTGAGTAAGGAGTCAGGACTGAAGCTATGAGGACGAAGAGCAATTATATTCACCAGCGCAGGAGTCAAACGTGTCAACGACTTAAGCAATGATTGGCTCTTTATCCAAAAAAGGTGTACTATAATACCGGTCTGTTTAGTCGAAACGGTTCAGGAGGGGGCGGCGAAATCCAGTTACCAAAACTGGAGGCAGCTATACAGAACAAGTAGAGGTTTCGTGAATACATAACTACGTGGCATTTCTCCTGCCTACACTGACCTTATATGGAGAGTGAGTGTTTGGGCATATACAAACAAAAGTGAAACATAAACCACATAAACGGAACGTGTGAAACCAGAAGGATGTGGTCATTGCCGGGGGTGAGTCGATGCGGATATCGTCAAATCAGATGGTTAAGTCGAAAAAGCGAATGTCTAACATTGGATTCAACAAGTTTAGTTTACCAGCAATAAACCATGTACAAAGTGTACGTTACTTCAAGCTGCTACACTCCCGGTAACCGGAAAATGGGAAAGCATGGGAGATACGGCCAAGTGTTAGAAGGAAACTAGACAGCTACGAATTGAAAACGGCAGCTTTGATGCAACAGAGTGATTGAGCCATGTCTGCCAGTGCCATTGTCCATTAGTGAGATCAGTCCCGGGGTCCCCATCCAACGAGGTGGCAGTTGTCGCACCGAATGAGTTTACTGATTAGTGCATTCAAACTTTGTTGACAGGTAATACACTGGTCGCTGCCACTCAGCACAGCTGGAGAAAAAGGGCCCTGCGATTCGGACGGTCCTCTGGCATGTGCAGTACGTGTCCTATGAAGTGTGAGTAACTCATACATCGTGGCGGAACCACCTGACGGACCTCATCATTCCTAATCCAGTGTTTCTACTAGACCAAGCCCAGACAACCGTGATCAAACACTGACAGCCTTTGTACGACCTCTACACCTCCACATTTCTAATCCATAAAGCAACATGGATCCACTGCGGCAGTCTATACTCTGCCTTGAATGATGAACTGATGTCACACTGGTGTCATAGGCCCTGGCCTACCCGATACGAGAAGTAACCTGAAGTTTGTGTTCGATTCCACCCAGTATTGTAGCAGCAGTATTTTGCAGGTGTGATGCGCATGCCAAACCAAGCGGCAGTCACTAGGGTTAGTTAAAATGAATTGCACGTTTGGAGGATCTGAACCAAGAAGAGTAATATCTTCCACATAGATGGTCGTTGGTTTGTTCGCTGAGCTGGGCAATTTGACTAATGTGACTGAAACATTTCATCCCCAATCGAGGTGACATCATCAGTGCGTTGTTGGGGAATGTGGTGGAGCGTAGTGACGGGTTGGTGGTTGTGCCAGGAGAGTCGTGGAAGAGTGGCGCTGTGCAAGAACTCATCACAAGGTAAAGATATGGCCGGCGTGTCCACGGTCAAGACAAGTTTGCTTCTCCCGATAATCCACCAACCTGGGAGGAATAATGCTAGAGAGCAACTTGAATGCGATGGATAACAACCTGATGACACAGTAGTCTTTGCATGAAGTTCCCGTCGTTTTTGAAGGTCTTCACCACCTTCTTTGAAGAGTGAGGGATTCAGATCATTCACACCAGATGCCTTGTCACGTTAGGGGAACGATATTTCACGCTGGGTTCCTGTTGTTAACTGCGATCTAGCGTCGACTTTCAATTCAGGTTCGTTGTGTTGAACAGGGCCTGTTCTTTAAAACGTTTATCCCATCACACCTGAAATAGGTCGCGGTTGTTGCCTGTATCGAAAACTTTTCCTTTCTCATAGGCTTTCTTAAGCCACCAGTGTTCACTGTTATTCTTCAAGCTCTTGATTATTTGGCATCTAAGGGGTCCGCGTGCACCATCATCGTCGCTAGCTGGCAGTACTAAGATCTGCCCTAAAACCTGGGATCACAGCTTCTAAAACTCGTCTCCATTCAACCTTTATTCTCCAAACTTCATCAGCATTACTGTGCATTTCCAGTACCTTTGAAGCCAGGTCAGCTCGATGCCATTGAGCTACTGAAACTCGTGGAAGTTGGTGAACGGAATTACTTTCCGTCGGCATAAGTAAGGCTGACGGAAAGAGAAGTGATGACCCAGGACTGCATAATGACATGATCAGAGTCAAGTTGCGTCATCACCATCGACAGCATGACATCAGTGTTCAACACCGATACTTCACTGCCGTACAACCATGATTTATTTGAAAGCCTTATTGCAAAGAAAAGAGTAAAGGTGGACGGGGAAGGGACTTAGTGCTAGCTTAACACAATCATTCCGAGGTGCCTACACCTGCAGATATTTACTCAGGCAATCTGACCCCAGAAGGAATCTCAAGGTCTGAGATACTGCCAGGTTGTCCAAGTCTGGATAGGGGAAAATCGAGAGGCAGAGGTCGGGTTCGAACCGCGAACCTTCCGGTCGGTAAATTCGCGTTCTAACCACTGAGCCATCTTTAACTAAAGCCATCAATCAGTAACTGATTGGCCGCATGATTCAACTGAGTCTATGACTGGTTTGTGGTTGGTAGCCTACAAGCAACTCAATGCGGGCGTTTGCACTAGAAGTTCGAGCTGACCAGGAACCGATGATGTTCAGCACAAAGCTGAATGAGTTGCTACCCATTATCCGTACGCCAAGCACCGGCTTCTAATTTGCCATTGAACTGTGATTCGTCCTGGCTTAGTAGTTCAACCTGGGTGTTAATATAACCTACCATGGTGATTATATCCGTGAGTGAAGCAGTCACGACAGGTCTCGGTAAGGTTTACCCTTCTCAGAATCGGCAGTGCAGCCTGGCGTTGCATGTGCTAAGACGATACGTAAATACCGACTATCGCATCGACCTGCACTGGTCTAAAATGGACCAGAAAACCAATCAAGACATCGGTGGACACAAAAGTCTGAGCGTTCACTAACATATATGGAGTACTCAGACGACATAGCTCTTCTTGCAGCTGACGCCATCGCATTGCAACCGATATTAAATAATCTAAATATCGCCGCCTCAAGGTTTGGCATGCCCTGTAAACATGCAAAGTGTAAAGTGCTGCTGCATAACTAGCTGGGCTCGGAACCTAAACTCATGCTTGCGGATGAGCTGACTAAGATAGCAGACAAATTCGTCTACCTGGGCAGCTGTAATAGTCCCGGTGGTTCAGGCAAAGACGACATTCCCATCCGGATTGGAAAAGCCAGGGCAGTTTTCGTGAATCTGCATCACCCGTGGCGTGGGTGTAACATTAGCCTATCCATCAAGGGTCGAGTCTACAATGCTGCGATGTGCTCCGTATTATTATACGGGTAGAAACCTGGCCGCTGTGCGCTGATGACGTCAAAAAACTTTCGGTAATTGACCATCGATGTCTTCGGAGGATTGCCCGAGTCTGGTGGGAGAACCGAATCAGCAACGCTGAAGTATGTCGAATGGTTTTCGGGAGAAATAACTCGTCCATGATAGATGAACTGATCACACTCTACAGGTTGAGCTGGTTTGGCCACGTGCCCCGTATGCCAGTCGACTTAATTTCTCGAAGGCCTCCTTTCGCACAACCAAGTGAAGGTTGGAAACGGGTTAGGGGAGGCAGAACAATGACTTGGTAGTGAAGTATGGAAGCCAGTACCAGCAAACTCAGTTGCGCTGATCACCGCTGTCTCCTGGATGGGGACCTTGAAAAGGGACACGTCAATGGTTATAGACATTGTCAAACATGGCCCAGTCGCACCCTTAGTGGCGCTCGTGCGTCCAAGCCATTGTCTTTAATGCATAGCTCCCTTTCCAATTTCCCAATTGAAAAGTCACGAAGAGACTGGACCTTACCGTGGTGTGACGGTTTGAGTACCTCAGCGATCCACTGAGCTATAATGGGGAGTGTCCCCGCGACACTCAGAGTCTCTCATACCATGTTGGTCAATGACTAGAGGTCTGACGAACGGTCTCCTGGCCCTCCAGGTTGCAAGTTCAAACGTGTTGCGATTTGTTCCGTAGAAACGGTAATGCATTATCACCTCCCGCCAGACAACCTCGCCTTGCGGTTAGATTTTTGAGCCAAAGGCTCTGGTTCAGGACCCTAATCGTCCATCTGCCTAGGTGGGGCATCCTGGTAGTATCCCAGCCCTCGTACGAACATGACTCATGGTTGTACTGTAGTGAAGCATCGGTGTTGAACACTGATGTCATCCTGTCGATGATGATGGCGATTCCCGCTTGAAAGTGCAAAGACAATCTTGTATTTACGTATCAATTGAGTCAGCTCCCGTCTCAAATGCGCAGGTACCTACTCCAGCTCCCCAAATCATCGGTGAACGAAACTGTAGCAGCTATAACGCTATAGCGATTCTTACGACTGATAATGATGATGATGATGATGATGATGATGATGATGATGATGATGATGTAGAGACAACCAACCAACAGCGTAAAAACGACTTGAGATGGCCCAAGTGGTTAGAGAGTGAATTTACTGACCAGAAGGTCCGTGGTTCGAAACCGACCTCTGCCTCTCGACTTCCCCTGTCTAGACTTGGGCAACCTGGCAGTATCCAAGCCCTCATGCTTCCTCCGGGTGGCACGGTAGCTAGGCACCGAAAGGATGTTACAGATGAACGATCCCCCCTAGGATTCAGTTAGGTAATGCGCTTCTGGCCCTGGGGCTGAGTGCAACTCACACATCGGAGATACCCCGAGCTATTGTATCAGCAACATTAGATACTCTGAGTGAAATGCGAAACATTTGAGCTCATCCTATGCGGCTTTGAGTGTCGGACCGAAGTGGGGTTTGTATGTGTGTTTCAGAGTTATGGCATACATCAACAGAAATGCCTGTTGCCCAATCTGACAGAATACGAACATCAAGAGATGGAACATGGATCAACTCTTTGGAGCTTAGTAAGCGATTATTGTGGTTTATGTTACTCGGAAATAGTTTGGATACGAAATAGTGGTTAGGGGACTGACAGATGGGTTGGCCGCAGTGCATCATACGATCAGTGGGGAAGGGATGCGGATGAAGGTCGGTGGACGAAGGGCTGCAAGGGCGAATGATACTCTCCAGTTTCCCAGGCCGAAGAATGGATTTGGTTGAGGTATCCCACCTTGAGCTTTTGACTCAAAATCTCAACAAACAAGACGGTGGATATGCGGTTTTGTTCGGAGACCCATAAGATAGCCTCTAACTCAAAAACCTGCAATAAAAGACAGCCATGTCAAGGTTTTCTTGATGGACCATATTTGGAGCCGATAACCCAATAGTCCGACCCACTTGACTGCAGAGGACTAGCCTTGCCCGATGACGCAGGAAGTTATCGTCTAGCACAACTGTCTGACTCCTAATGCGGGCTGCGCACACCAGATGTCTTTTGAGCAGCACCAAACGTTTTAATCTTAAAAAGGTCCACCTTTCCTAACCCACCCTTTCTCGGACAAAGACAGCATCGCTGCCTCCATAAATGTGGACATGTTGGTGGCCTGGAGGAAACATCTTACTGCCTTCACACTCTTATCGCAGAGGACAGTACAACTTCGCCTCCACGCTGCCTCACAATATGACTTCTCACAGAACGGTGACTCGCTATTCTTTGTCCGACTGCTCCACGTTGGCCTTGCCAGCATGGTTGAAAATTAAGGAACTGAGTTATAGGCAATCTGATCCGCAAGATCGTTGCAGCACTGAAGACAGACCACCAAGGCAAAGTGACAGCTTGAGATCGGACCTCAATAATAAAAAATAAGAGGTCAGGAAGATACATTAAGTTCGCTGAAATATGTTTCTTTCCGACGGACAGAAAGCACCCATAGCGCGGACACAAATCAAGCGGATGTGTTGGGGATGGTGCAGGTATGATGGCATGATTATGGTGCTTGTGATGTCACGAGGTCTTTAAGGAATGGATATACACCTTCACGGTAGGGTCTTGGGCAGTCTTCGGTCTTCCAACTGGGCCGGAAACAAGTGCTCGCGGAGAGACCACCAAGCCATTTGTCGCTCTTGAACATGTGGCCAGCTCCTGAATAAGGTTGATCGTCCATACCGGGGCTCATTTGGTAGGTGCAGCTGAAAATCTAACACGCGTCACGCATTGTTGCTCCCAAGGTCACACGTCAACCCAGCAGGCTTTTGCAGCCGACTAATTTGTCGGTGAGTCAATGCAAGCAACTGTCTACTTATTCAATGCATACGCGATGTTTGCATACTTGCTAGAAAATACAAGTTAGGCGATATAATGGTATGCCTGAAATTTTGTTTCCAATCTTTCCATCAAGGCATCTAGAGGCTTGGTAGCATACAAATCCTGAGACCAAGTGAAATTGTTAATCTATTGAATCCTTCAGACGTGAAGCGGGAACTCATCCAGGAACCCAACTTGTGTTGCTAAATGATGGTGCTAATGAGCCCGCTCAATGGGATGCACAAGGCCCGAGATGGGACACACAGAGAGGCAACTGAGAAACCCCATGTGGGAATCGCAGCATCAGAAGAGGACGTGACAATCTCAGTTAAGGGCAAAACATTTGTATTGATGACCACTTGGCTAATGTGGATATGGTACAAAAAACTAATGGTAGGCATCACGGTCCTGCACGAGAGACTATCTGTTCAAAGTCTGTACAATGAGAAGGAATACAACGCGCCGTCAATGATAACCGGAGTTGCACCAATAACTAAAGAAGAATGACTCAGCTGAACAGATGACCTTAAAAAGTATAAACGTTAGACTGACTGAAAGCAATCGATCAAGCGCTCAGTACTGGATGAAACTCACCTGAGGAGTATTTTGCAATAGTCCAGTGCACTTCTGTAGCACCCTCGCATTCCAATGTATAATACATATCGAAAAAGGGCGACAAAAAGCCCTCTGGGTACGAAAGTTGACAATAACATCCAAATATTACCTGTTCTCCTGTCGTTTGTAGTCAAGACGACATGTACCAACGAGTGGGTTGAAACAGGGATGAAAACCAGATTGGTATGCATGCAACACGCGTTCTACAAATTAAATATGAAATGATGGAAGAAGGTCATACCGAGTAAATCCGAACCCATTTCGGAGTTATCTTGATGCATCAGTATCTCGCTGAGCTGGAGCAAAGAATCTATGTGATATGGGCAATCGGTAAGTATGTGCTAAACATGTAGATGATCCTGGTTAGAAAACAAAAGTAACAGATGAGGGAAGGTTACCATGAAGTTATTCGGATCCATCGAATCAAGAGCAGAATAGAATGCCTTTTGGATGTTCCGATAATCTTTGTTGTGCGTGAACGTGTAGGATCCGTCAGGCAGTCGCTCCATATCTAGGCCGAAACGAGTGATTGGAGGCCAAGACAGTTTGATACGCACAAGTGGCCCCCTTTTAGTACGACATTGGGCTTGTGGGTGCTGCTGATGTGGATTCATGCCCGCGTCACGAATAGCGCTTGGTCCGAAAATGCGAGCAAGTTCCATCACGGGATCGAGAGTTTTACCAGTAACTACTAATAGGTCAGTAGTTTGAGTAGTTTTAACTGGTGCGTTCTTGGAAGGCCTGGTGGCGCAGCGTTCCACATTGAATTCTCCAAACATTTCATCTTCTGGAGACACGGAGGGCTAGTGGCTACTATTATGCTAAAAATGACTTTCATACTTTAGTTGTTTTCATTTTGGATTTCCGTTTCTTCTTAGTTTTCGGAACAACTGATTGCTCTTCGCCGGATACCTCAGCAGGGTTGCAAATATCGTCTTGGGAACTAACCAACAAAACAAACTACACGAGAAAGCATAAACAACAAACTAACATTGAAATAGAAAACTTACTGCAGAAAAAGAGCTGCTGGATGGTGAGGCTAACTCTGTCGATTCGTCCAAATCTGGCTGTTCTGCGCTAGCAAAATCAGTACCTCTGGTTATCCGTCGCAACGCGCGAGAAGACATTTGGTGACAAAACTAGCAAACTAAGAAATTCAGCAGAAAGCAGAGTAAGTAGTGCATGGTCTTTGGAGTGTTGTTTCCATAATACACTATGGTACGCAACATTAAAAGCTTTCAACTGCCTTTTTGGTAGAGAAATTAGCAGGCTCTTTTTGCGGACCTGTCGGTTCAGAATCAATTGCAAGACGGAAGAGCATGTTAACAGTTGACATCCCAAGTTTTATTTCTAATCACTGCAACGAAATTGGCTGAAGCTTCAAGGCACTTAATGAGTCACTCACTGGAGTGAATTATACGGGACAGGCCCATATCAAACTGCTCCGTCAAAATAAAAATGGGATCTTCTGAAAAGCGTTCCGTAGATATTTTACAGTGTATATGCCCACTCGAATTCACCTGATAAAACTCAAAAGGTCCACTGAACCATTTATTCTGCAACTTCTCTCATGGTGATACAATAGTCTGTCATTCATTACTTCACATTTTTTGGGGGGCGAGATGGCCCAAGTGGTTAGAGCGCGAATTTACTGACCGGAAGGTCCGTGGTTCGAACCCGACCTCTGCCACTCGACTTCCCCTGTCTAGGCTTGGGCGACCTGACAGTATCCCAGCCCTCGTGCCTCCTTCGTGTGGCATGGCAGCTAGGTCTTTAACAGTATTATTGGTCGTCCTCATCTAAGATGAAATAAACAGAGTTCCCTATATTCTATGGCCGAATGCCATTCAACAATAGAGGAATCAATAAAATATAAAAAAAAACGAGCATTTAGCTGTAACACCCTTTCGGTGCCCGGTTGCCACGCTACCGGGGGGAAGTACGAGGGTTGGGATACTGACGGGTTGCCCAGGTCTAGACAGGAGCGGCCGAGATTCAGAGGCTGGGTTCGAACCGCGTATTAATAGTTATCTCGTGGTCACGTGTACCGATGGAGTGAACTGTCGGTGATGAAAACTAGACAACAATGACTTAAACTGTATGAACAATTGTTTTCCAAGCTTACCGCATCACACAGATTGAGCTGCATTTCCTTTAGAGTGGAATAAGCCGTCAGAAAGTGGATTGGTCTGGTTATCCCAGAGCATACCTGGAGAGGCATGAGACGGTAGCATAATCCACTCTACATTTACCAGCGCGACTCACTGGCACAAACAGATTAGCTGAGCTATTTAAGCCTTACTGTGAACAAAAGAATAAACTGAATGGAGAAGGGACTTAGTGCTAGCCAATCACATACCTACTGGAGTTCCTGCACCTCCAAAAACTCTGGGCAGAAACCGAAAACAAAAACGACAGTGAAGCCGATTAATGGCGATATCTTGCAGCGTCTCCGACCACGCACAAGGGAGATCACGTCGGCTCCGTTACGGAAGGCGCCACACCAACAGTACTCAGAAATTTCGTAATCTCCTTCAAATCTCTCTTTCCGGTAAACGATGATTCGACGTAAGTAATACGGGGCCTGACGACCGCAGCTTTTGGTGATGGACACATTTTTCAACTGCAGCACATGTTGCACAACCAAACAACCGTTTTCTACATGTCTCGTTGTGGATTAACCGGAACCGGTTTACATGCGGTTGTCAAAAACCTGAAAACGTCTGTTACGTAACTCGAGAAGGCCAACTTTCATAGATATACAACACACTGCGATTGACACAAACACAACTTGCAAGACATGTAAAACACTCCACAACATCGAGTATCACTCCTCAGATTGTAAGTTTTGTGTTCAGTAACTGTATGTTCAGAAGCGTGATCTTACATTTTGTGGGCGCAGGGCATATACTAAAAAATGGAATGACTGATAGGTTCATCCGATTTCCCGTGCGTTTCACTCATCTTCAAAGACGAGAATAATGTCGTCTGTACATTCCAGATCAACAAGGCTTCCCTCAGCAGCCATTTGAACCTCATAGTTGTAAAGACCATCCAGCGGTGGCCTCACCTCGCCGGAAAAAATCGTTCAGCTGTGGCACCCTTCCGGTGCCTAACTGCCTTGCTACCCGAAGATTTCACGAGGGCTGGGATACTGTCAGGTTGCCCGAGCCTATGCAGGGGAAGTCGAGAGGCAGATGTCGGGTTCGAACCACTACCTTCCGGTCAGTAAATTCGCACTCTAACCAACTGAGTCATGTCATTGCTCTTCGATCATGAAACTGTTAAAAAGAGAACGGGCATCCTCGTCGGACACCCTTTTGTATACGAAAGCTTTTGGATAGGTCTTTGTTTGATTTCACACGTGGGAACTTCTGCGAATATGAAGAACATATATTGACAAATTTTGGGGCATTATTTGCAGAGCAACTATGGGAAAGAAAGCAGGCCATTCAAAACTCATATATAGCCTGAAACTCCAGGAATACCAGCGTTTTACATTGTTATAGCACATAATAATGTATCAGGATTAGGTCAACACAACTCCAAGCCGGAGTCCCGCCTGATGCTCTCAAGCCAATGCTTCACGGGGCACCACAAGGCGGCGAAGGATAAGTGACACCATGTCCCGTTGAGACCGGGGTCAACCTGATTTTACTGTAATTACCAACCCCACTGCGGAGCCCTTTTTTGGATATGGGCAATATTGCCGATTCTCTCTAGTCGTACGGGACTTCCAATTTCCAGGATGCGAGCAAATAGATCAGACAAACACTGACCGCGGATTTCACCCCCGTCCTTGAACAATGTGGGTGGGGGGGTCTGTGGTCTGTACGGCAGTGAAGCATCAGTGCTAACACTGATGTTGCTGTCTTTGGTGATGATGATGATGGTGTGTGGTGCTTGAGAGAAAAGTATGAGACCGTAAGTTTGCAAGTTTGCCATCCATGGCCCTGCCGTGGTTCCTTGATCCAAATGATTGGCAGCAGGTGGCCACGGGATTTGTTCAATTCGCTCGGCCCACCGATTGAAGTATATTCCCTTCTGAAGATGATCGCGCCATTTTGATCCTTGAACTGTTCGCTCACCGGCTGTTTCAAGAGCAGGTCGATCAATCGAAACAATCCTCAGGCTTCCACAACATTTTGCCACATCGATTTCCTTAGCCTTCCGTGTCCAATAAGGTTTATGGTTCGGGCGCACGCTGAGCTTCACTTAGAGCCTCACAATTCACTGCGCTCAAAAATGTCCGGGATCGGTGGGGAATTTACTCCGAGATTGAAACAGCGCCACTTTTCTGTGATGTTCAGTGTTTGGTTGAACCCGGTAACGCCGTGCCACAGACAAAACTCCCGACAATTTGCAGACATGTGGCGATTTCATCTCAATGCGAAAACACATCAAACATTGTAGCAATCAGAAGAGTCCAGAAAACAGTTATGATAAATGTGCTTAACTTTGACAGCTGTCAGCCTCTCAGTTGCTAAGCGAGTNCTACACGACCAAGGGGAAACACACGAGTAAATAACGAGAGTCTATATAGGTGTTCAAAACGTGAAGCAGTCATTTACTGATCTACGCCATTAATAACTAATTACGATTTAAGCAATTTGGCTCCGCGGCTAGTGCTCTGTTGGAAGAGACATTGTGGCCAGACGATTTCGGTTATTTCGAAAGTTTGTACTGTATGAAAAGTTTGTGACTGACAGCTGAAATAGCCGTTGGACGTTGTCTGTATGTACCTATTCCAATTCATATCGACCACCCCATTGTCTCAGGCGCGATAACCCTGCCTACTTGGGTACTCAGTCCAAGGCAATCCGAAAGACATCTGTGCTCTTGGCGAGTCTTTGCGGGACACTCAACTCGAATTGAATGTTGTTATTGATCGTGTCAAAGTTTCAGTCCGTTAGTAGGTGAGCACTGATAAAAGCGCTTCGTTTGGCTCTGAAAAAGAACGCCTGGATTGTCGGATCGAACACTTTCAACGACAATTCAACTGGCCAAACACAGCTGCTCAGACAGATACCTGAATTGTCACAGAGTCTGGCGAGAAAGCTGCAAGTCCAATGGCTTCGGGTGAATGTCGTTTGTCAATCAAGCATCACCTAGCTGCTGGTCCTGACGAACTCCCAGTCGCTCAGTTCAAAGGTGGAAGTGTAGTAACGGTATTTTCCTCAGCTTAGTTCTC